TCAACTGGAGCGCGGTTGGCGCCCCTAGGAAGGTCGTCCCAAACGGGGAAGGGAGGCGGGGCCTCCACATCATCATGATCCACTCGAGCCGGGGGCCTAGTCCCTAGGTGCAAACCCCAACCAAACAACAGGGGGCCCCCCAAAACCCCGGAAAGTCAACCCCGAAACGGAGGAAACGGGGGAAAAAGGGGGACCCAGGGAGCCGCCCCGAAAAGGGAAAACCAAACAAGAGAGGGGAACCAAGGCGCACCCCGGATCAGCCCAAGCCGCGCCAATTTTCCTCGCCTGGTGCAAGTCTGGGCCTGCGCTGTTCCCTGGGGGGGGATATCAGCGCCTTCGGCAGCTGTCCCCCCTCCCGGGGTGCGCTGCGCATCCGTTCCGGATGGCCGCGGTCCTGGATGGTGTGCCGGAAGATGGCGTTGTCCCGCATCATCACGCGGCCCCCTTCGCGATGTCATCGATGCGCTTGAGCGCAGCAGCCTCCGGATTCCGCAGAATCAGCTCCCAGATGGCATTGGAGACGTGGCCTGTCTGGGTGGTCTGGCTGAATCTGAACCTGGGCACCTTCTGGTCCACGATGGAGACGTCCCGCAACGGGGCCGAGGGCTCCACCCGGCGGTAGTACTCCAGCCGCTCCTTCACCCAGCGGTTGTAGAGGCCCTCCGGCGGCTCGTCCAACACCAGCTGCAAGATGGCCTTGCCGGCCCGGATCTGGAGGAGGCGGGTGCCCCCTCCCCCGGCACGCCAGTACCCCTTACAATACTTGCACATGTAGCCCCCCCGGGTCTCCCCTTTTGTCTTCGGGATGAGTTCCCACGGGGTGACGGAGCTCAGGACCAGGCCACACTCCATGTGCGCCCAGAAGACATGCTTCATCTCCACCGGATAGTTCTTCTTCCGGTAGTCCTTACCCACCACGCCGTGGACGTTGTCCGCCGTGATGGGGGGGTAAACGATCCCCTCATCGCCCTCGCCTCCCCTGGGGCGGATGTCAGGGCCATCGGCACCTGTCCGGCACCCAGGGGCGGAGGGGTCCAGGCCCATCAGCTTGATCATGTCGTTGGTGTAGCCGAGCTTGCGGTAGATGGAGGGGGCCACTGAGTCGGGGACTGCGCCGACCCACCACTGCTTCGTGTTGCAGCGCCAGTTGACCTTCACCTCCGCCAGGGCCCCCGGGCCTCCAATGCGGTCCATGAGGGCCTTGTACACCTCTGAGAACTGCTGGAGGCTCTCCACCGGGACCGAGATGCGCTCGTCGCATACCGCCCGCAGGATCATCTGCTCCTTGGAGTCCGCCACGTCCTGGACCGGGAGCTGCATCACCTCCGCCGGGGTGTCCGTGAGGAAGGCCCGGGCCGCGAGGACCTTGCCCATGGCCCGGTAGACGAAACGGAAGGCCCTCCTCCTTCAGGAAGCACCGCGCGTCCTCCTTCAGGCCCTCCAGGCGGGTCTGATTCTGGGCCTTGTTTTTCGGGCCCCGCTGCCTAGGGCCCTGCAGCAGTGGCAGAGACTCCCAGACTCCCCAGAGCTGGCGCAGGGTGTAGCTGTGCCCGAACATCCCCAGTAGGCCTGGGAGTGTCCAGGACGAGATCTGGCGCGTCCAGTGGAAGTCCTCATCCGGATCGTGGGGGGCAGCCCAAAAGATGGATCGCAGGTCCCCAGGGTAGGGTCGGTCCCCCGCCTTCGCCTGCTGGTGCAACTCATCAACGGAGTACCTGGCCCAGGGGAGTCCACCCACCTGGTGGTTCCTGGGATGCGTACCCTTCTCCAACGCCTCCGGATTCACCTTGGTGAGGTTTTTCGCCCAATCCGGGACGTGTACCGGGCCCGGTCGTCGGACCCAGCGGCCCGCAAAGATACGGACCTCTCCGACCCGTTTGCTCATCATCCAGCGCAGGACCGAGAGCTGCACCTCCGGGTCCTTGGTGTCCAGGCCCACCGGGGTGGCGGACGGCTTGTCAGGGCCCTCGGCACCTGAGCTCGTCACGCCAGAGCCCGAGGCTGGGGGGATGGTGGGCGGCCTGTCAGGGCCCTCGGCACCTGGGCGCGCCGCACCAGAGCCCCCCGCCTTTGGCATGGGGATCCCTGTCAGGTCCGGCAGATCTGACAGGAGGGCCGCCGGGAAGGGATTCCTACCCAGCGAGATGACCGCCTTGGCCTCAAGGTAGGAGTCCGTGAGGGATGTGAGGTCGTCCATACTGAAGTCCCTCCATGCCGTTGTCGGCTCGAAGACCCCAGTCTCAATGGCGACCCGGACCTCACTAGGCCACGCACTGAAGGGAGGCGCGATGGGCTCGAGCATTCTGGTTTCGAGGGAGCCCTTCGCCTGTCTGGCTTGGTGTTTCGCTTTCGCCTCCTCCGCAGTGGTCTGGGCCTGGAGGAGCTCCGGTGTGGGTCTCCCCCAGTCCGCACCCAGCTTGTCCAGCAGCTTCTCACGGAAGAGGTCCAAGTCCAGGTTCTTCAGGAGCAGGCCTCCATCACCTCCTCCGTCAATGGCCCCCCCTTGAAGTTCGTGGAGGACCGCCGCGGAGCGCTCCACCGCTTCCACCTGGTCCGCCTTCTTGGCCTCCTCCTGGGCGATGGTGGTGGCGTTGAGCCGGGTCTGAATCTTGAAGGCCTTCACCGCAGACGGGTGGAAGGCTCTGCATTCCTGGCCCTCTTCCTTGTCGCCTGGCAATGGGGGCCTCTCCCCCGGTGGGGCCGTCAGAAACTCCTCGTCCAGCTCCATGGGGCAGTTCCTGATCACCGCCCGGACCGAGGAGGGGACGAAGTCCGAGAAGCTGGCCTGGTCCGGGTTCTCGCAGGCCATCGGGTCGGTGGCCAGCTCGCTGACGTCCACCGAGGCACTGAGCTTGAGGTCGCGGGCCCGGTCCGTGTCAGGGCCTTCGGCACCCGCGGACCGGGCCGCCGTCCAGACCGCATTGCCCTGGTCATCCACCGTCAACTGCCAATGCGTGCCCGCCATCTCCAGGGTGGCCGAGTTGGTCGCCGTGTCAATGGGCTCCGTCTTCTTGCCGCACCCCATGCACTTCGTGGCGCCCTTCTTCACCCAGGGCATGGTGCAGCAGGGGCAGATCCAGGATGTGGGCACCTTGCCCAGGGGGCGGTTCTCCAGGCCCCCGTACCCCAAGCCAGCGCGCTTGCCAACCTGCTGTCCCGGGGTGCTGAGCCGGGCCTCATGCTCGTACTTCATCTTGGCGATGTAGAAGGCCTCCACAACGCGCTCCAGGCCCCCCCGCTTGAGTTGGGGGCCCTCAAAGCCTCGCAGGAGCCGCTGGACGTCCTTGGCCTGCAGTCGGCGAAGCCTTGGCCGTGGTCGCATCGAAGCAAGGGAAGTCGCCCGCCATCTGGTCGTCGCTGAACTGGTAGAGGCCCTCCGAGACCTTGAGGGCCTTGGTGAACACGCTCCCCCCCGGCGGGGGGGCTGCGGGGTTCTCATCCTCCTCCGAGGACGCCTGCTCCTTGACCTTCGCCATCAGCTCCCGGCGCCTCTGCCACTTGGCGTCTGCCCGGGCATCCAGGCGGGCCTCCTCCAAGCGGGCTGCAGCCGAGGGGGACCTGGGCATCGGCAGCTCCTTCTCGTCCTTCGCCAGGAGCTCCTCCATGGGCACGTCCTCCTCCGGCGGGTTCAGGAGCTCCAGGAACGCCCCTGGGGGGCGTGTCAGGGCCTTCGGCACCTGCGCCACCCCAGGGGCTGCATCTTCCATCGGCTCATCCTCTGCCTTGCGCTTGGCCGGGATAAGGGGGGCCTGCTCCAGCTCATCTGCGCTGGAGAAGAAACGCTCGTCAGGTGCCTGAGGGACCTCAGCAGCCAAAACGGTCCATCCTTCTTCCTCCCTCTTCACGAGGCTCGCCAGGTACTTTGCCATGGAGGCCTTTGCCTTAGCCTTGGCCTCTGCTACCGCGGCACCAGCGTAGGCGGGGGCGTACATGGCTTTGAGAGTAGGGGAAAGGAAGATTTCAAATCACAAGACAAAAGATCAAAAGGTCCACTTGAGCCAAAATGGTGGCCCAAGTGGATACTTATTAAGAGTCAAGACAAGCGACCACCTACGGTTAACGCTTTAGCCCACAATAATTTCATAATTCCATTCATAGTCTTGAGGGTTGATTTTCTCAAAATCGATAAACAACAGCTGGCTGGAAACAGTTCACTTCTGACTACATTCTGCTTAACAAATCAAGTTTTGACAAGCCTCCCCCGGTTGCAGCCGCTCCAAATCTTGCAATTCAGACTTGATCAACTTGTGCAGTCCGTGCGGCACGCGAGCCCTAAGGGCCTTGGCAAATCGGACCACGCAACAAAGAAATCAACGGCCCTTTTAACCGTGAGTTGTCCAGAGACTGGTAGCAACAGGGAACCACTTTTGGGGCTTAACTATCCTTCTGGTGGGGAACCCATCAAACAAACATGAACAAGCGTGCCACTGAAGAACTGGTTTTGGGGATGTTTGGGAGGACATTGGCCAACTACCGAATATCGAAACCAAAGTGACCAGTGGTTGTTCACTGTCGCGCTCCGTTAGCCAATTGAGGCTTGCCCATGCAGTGCTGCAGTCAAACTTGAACAACAGTGCTACACCAATTCTGCGCGACGGCTGTGTTTCAGCATAGTTTATATGCTGCCCCTCTTCCTAGTTCCATCCAATATGGGTGAGCCTTGGAAAGTAGGGATTCTAAAATGGGAGGTTGCCCTTTTAAAACACCGCCAGAAGCGGACCCTGAAAAAAGGGACCTGTTGAGTTGAATGGCCAGGAACCCATGAAGCGTCGACCAACTTGAATCAGAAGCTTTTCAGAAATTCTGCCGAATTTTGCCAGTGCTTCTCTTCTGTGCCTCTTCTGTGCCGGTTTGCCCCAAAGACGAAGGCAAACAGCTCTTTCCTGCTTCATCAATCCACTCCCATCTCAGGAGCCTTTCACCTGAACCTTAATGTTTGAGCCTTCGCCTTGGATTTTCATCGGAGCACGGCTCGCGCGCGGCGGTCTCTAAGAGCGCGCCTGTGAAGGAGAGAGCCTTAGCCTCGGCTGAGTCTTGGGGCCACATACAAACTCCCTGAGGTCGGGTCCAATATCTTGGTCCACCCCAAAATACGTCAAACACAATATGTGCAGATGCTGTTTCATATTCAACCTTCGAATGCAAGATATGTATAGATATGACTTAGATATGCTCTGATGAAACCGCAGATCCTTAGACCCGAAGCAGACACTGTTACTGCATCTGTGTGGAATGCATATCTTGCAGTCTATCTGCCTGCCTCACCGACTACGAATGCCGTGCCCTCTGTTCCCTCTTTTCCACCCCCAAAGGGTTCTGATCCTGCCACTTGCCCCGTAAAACCCGGTAGCAAACAGAACCCCCGTGTTGACCGGGAATCCAGTGAACTGGGATGGGGAGACCTCAAAAAGGGGTCACAGAAGAAACCCCATTTTCATTGGACCAGGTTTTTCCATAGGCCTTTTCAGGTGCATCGGGTACAAGTTTGCAGAACATCGGCCGCTACAAGTGCAGCTCACCAATGTTCTACCCGAACTAGTGTTGTTCATCTTTAGGAATGGCTCAGCTACCCTTGGTGCTGGTTGTCTTTGAGGGACAGCTCAACCCACTCAAGCGAGTCGGCTCTGGTGCTCTCTGATTAGAACAACCGACAATTCAATTGCAACCCCTCCCCGTTGCATGCTTCCCTACATTCCCCCCTTGATCCCAGTGAAGGGAAACTTTAACCCCCACTTTTGCAGAGGGCTGCCTATATTTCCTTTTAAACATTATTACAGGAAACTCACAAACTTGCTCAAATGGTGATGTTTCAAGACAGGGGAAATGCGCTTGACGCCCACAGGCAATCAACGATATCAGGAATGTGGCTCGAGTGCGGGCCAAAGACAAACTTTGTGCCCTCGACAGACACATTGACATGGGTACCCCGAAACAAAGACGAGCCATTTGGGTCCTTCGTCTCTGCACCTGCAGGCCGTGCTCACCAACTTCTTCAGCATGTGGCTTGGGTCCCAAAGGCGAGCGAAATGGCCGCAGACAAGCCTGTTGAACTGGTCCGGGATTGATGGCGGGTGCGTTTGGCCGACTCTCGAAAGTGCTTGCACTTTGCCTCAACGCCGAGTCGTGCCGTTCAGGTTTTTCGCTTTGGGCCTCCCTCTCACAACGAAGCGCAAGGTCCAAGCGGGAGCCCGACTTCTCTAAAGCCTTGGTTTGTTCGAGTCAACTTTGCACACACACCGTAACATAGGGGAACCCCTTGCAAGAGCCCTAAATTCGGGAAAGCCCAGTGCTCTAACTATCGGTAACCAGGGAATCCATGCAACCGAAGAATCCCTGGACCCGGGACCCGGGCCAAGCAAAGGACCGGGGGATCTTGAGCCTCCTTCGGAGGCTCCTCGGGGAGATCCTGCGAAACCGAAACGCTGGTGACCATCTGATTGGTTGACATTGTTTGGTTGCTTGACGTTTGTTGCTCCTTGAACCTTGGTGTCTGATCTTGCCTTTCTCCAACGCCCCCAAAAAATACAAAGCAAACCCTAACATGTTGAGTCATTCTTGGGCATACAACCTCAAACCGCTGGCTCTAGGTTTGACCCGGGTAAAAACTATGAGGCTTGCAAAGGGAAAAAAAAGGCAAACCGGAGTTCTACCCTTGGCAATCAGGGCTCCCTATCTTTCAAACCTTAAAACATCACACCATGAGGACGCTTGCCCAAACTTGGCACCCGAAAGGGACGACAACTGTGTGGACCCTTGAATCTGGATATGGAAACCTTTTAGCGACATGTTATTTTTGCAGCAGCAAAATCGCCCAACGGCAATTGAAACTAGCTGAAAAGGAAAATCTAGAGGAAAACATGGGGGAAGTCTATGACGGGGAGGCATGGATGTCTGTATGTATGTATGGATGGAAATCCGACAAATATTCTAGGGATGGATTCTAGGGATGGATTTTATAATTATTAAAATAACATATCATGTGGAACACCCCAAGCAAAAGACAACCCCGCCATGGTCATGGTTCCCTAAACAGAAACCCTTACGAGGCTTGTCTAAATATTGGGGGTCGATGACCCTCCCTACCCAACCGGTCTTTGACCCAAATAAGTTGTTGGGACCATCCACCTGAGACTGACCCCTCTCAAAAAAAAGGCATCAGATGGCATCAGCTTCCTTTTGGCCTGGTAGAAGGGCAACACATTGGAGTGTAACAAAACCACAGGCCCTACTGTGGATGGACGAAATCCTGCACCACCTAAGAAACCCTGAAGGATGATTCCCCTGTAAATACCAACAAACAATGGTTTCCCGTGGTTTCAAAGTGGTGCAGGATTTCGTCCACCCACAGTATGTTCAATCAAAACGACCCTGCAGCTTTCTCTGCCCCAGGTCCACATTGCGTTGACACTGGGACTTCACGGATCAACCCGATCGTGTCTAGTTTTTTAAGGTTGCACCCCGCCCCACAAAACAAGTGGACTGTCAGTGGAGTTCGCCCTAAGAGAGTCATAGCCAAACCAAAGGCCCCGCCCACAACATTCTTGGAGGAGGTTCCGAAAGAAGGCTTGGGATGAAACCTTGAGGGATGTGGTTGCTTCTCTCCCAAAATGTCTGGTTCCCCCTCCAGAAAAACAAACACAAAAGGGCTTCAACCAAGACAAACCCAGGTCCGTAACTTGTCTCCAAGGGATCTGATCGCCCTTGGCCCAGCCCCGTGCTCGATATTGACCCGGATTCCGCAGGCCTCGATTTGACTTCCCGGCGCCGAGCGGATGAGCCGTTCGCTGAAGAACTCGTCCAGGGAGGGAGGCCTGCCTCAGATCCAAGCCACATCCGCCGTTTTCGCCGCTGGAAGGTACTGATGGCACCCTATCCACAATGTCCCAGTGGATGTTATTTCTGGGTTACTTCTATGGGGAATAGAGTATTTCTACCCTAACAAGGAACTCATGGAGACCTGGAAGACAAAGAGTCCCCTTGATTGGGCTCTTCTGACGGGTTCCGTGTTGGCTTAATGGCCATTACCCGCTGCAAAACAAGTGTAACTTTGCAAGTTGGGAATATGTGTTTTTTGCCAGAAGCTGAAAATAGAAGGATCCAGCCTTACAAGCAACCTGCTACCCCATATTGCCGTTTTTTGGTCATATGGGTACGCCCGTTTTTGCCCAAATACAGCCTGCAACCAATAGCATTGAAGTGAGTAGCCGACTTATCAGTCCTAACCATTTCCCTCAGAAAGCACTGGAGCACCGGATCCGCGGACCTCGCGGTCGAATCGGAGTCCGAGCTCGGACTCGAGTCCCCAATTGGGGAGTTTCCCGGATTCAGTCTCCCGTGCCCAAGAGCTTACGTGTGCCTGTGGGGTTGCAGTCTAGCAAGCAAGTGTGTGCGTGTTGAAAAGGGCACCCATGTCGCTTTTGTTTAGAGGGAAACCAAGAGGAACACCACCATTTTTGCGTCCCCCCATTTGACATACCAGGTTTGAAACGTTGTACACTTTGGTGTTTGAATCAGTCAGGTTTAGTTCACAGGGTCGGCTTGGGTGCCATCCCTTATTAGTCGCACCAAGCTCGCGCAACATCGTGCGACTCCGCTGTTTGGAACAATGGCCCAGGTTTTGGTGTGTTTCGTTAACTCTGAATGACTGGTAAAGCGCTGAGAAGGTGATTCTGGGGGTCCAGAACCTCATTGTGTTATAATTAACAGGCCTTCATAATATGGGTGTGTGTGTGTGTGCTGACAACAAAAGCTTTTAACCAGGTCCCTTCGTCGAATCCTTTCTCGGGACACATTCGGCATACCTGACGAATGTCTTGCCACTGCTAGCTTGTCTAATACGGCTCAAAACATGGCGGCACACCAGGTGACTTTGAAAACTCGAAACATGGCATGTTGTTGGGACCTCAGCAAAAAACCCATTTCCAACGCATTTCTGGTAGACCGCCGTCCCCCCCGAACGCTTTTCCTCTGGACCATCACTCTTGTCGGTTGACCGCCACCCCAACGCTTTTCTGTTTGGGGTGCCAATGTCGAGGTCAATGAAGGTGTTCTTCACTGGCAACGTCTGGCAAGGGCGTGGCAGCGGCAGAAGATGGTTCCCCGGTGAAAAAGAAGCGATGGGGATCCCCGATATCACCGAAGCGGGAAATCCCAGCTCATTCCCACCTTATTTTCAGGGGCTATGTGCGTGCTCCGGCGATGCGCTGCCCACATAACTCAAACAAATCAAATATCGCTGCCAAGCTGTGCCTATGCCACATGATGAGTTCTTTCATGGAAGTGTCTGCGGAATTCACGATCCGGCCAGAAAAAAACGAACCAAAGAACCTGATGGGTCTGGACTCGATGACGAAGCCTACCAACAGAAACATTCAAGTTGTCTGCCAGCTCAGGTGAGTATGCGTGGTCAAAACTCCTGCAGCCATGGCCATGGTCCCACAAATAAAAGAATCCTTAATGTTGGGCTCGGATTGATCAACCCCTGGTTGATTGATAGCGGCGTGTCCCCCTTCCGGGTCATCACTCACAAGAGGGAACCACTCTCCTTTTACGAATCCGGGGTTGACATTGTGGCTCTTTCAATCCTGAAAGGGTTCACCATTCCAGATCTCCAGCGAAACAAGCGTTCGAGCACTGGCCCTACCCCCCATTGAACAGCGCGGCTCCCAACCACTGCCTCTGTCTCTGCCCATCCACCCCAAAGCTTTCTGGGAAGAAAGGAAACAAGGGACGCATGGGGCAACTGGAAAGAGCCAATCGGCTTGGATCCCAAAATCCGACGCATAATCGATCTGTCTATCATTGCGACCAGTGACACTAGACGCAAAAGACTCTGAGCATCTCTGAACCCTTTTTTAGGTGTGACTGTGGTTAGAGGCTCCCGAGCTGACTATGGGCAATGTACTGGAATTCACAACCAAGCAACCAAGCAATAACTCATTCTGGGCAGCCTTTGCCCCAACCAACTATATGTGTTGAATTCTGGTCCACATTGCTGGGCACATTACAAGAATTCACGAACTGGAAATACGGAATGCACAGCAAAAGACCGTTATTAACCTCGTTGTATTTGCCCAGATCATTGCAAACGGGAAAGCAACGGCTACATCATGTCAGTCATCTCACTCCAAATGATATCTAGTCCCGCCAAAAGAACCAAGGTATCCTTGGATGCAAAAACACACTGCATCCGGGCTATAAACCATTTTCACCCGAGGGTAATGATTTGTGTCCAGCCGTCCCCGTCGTCACTCCGAGCCTTGTCCTGCACCTATCGCTCGATCAGAAGGGGCAAATTGGTTCGATTGGCACAGGGGCCACAGGGGGTTGATCAATATCCCTTCGGCCCCCAAATGACCATCGTAACTTTTCCCCCATCAGCTTGCGTGGTAGACTCTACGTGTGTGTATGTGCCTAAAGTCCAAAGTTGATATATTTCAGGTAGGTGCCCCTGACATGTTCCCGGATATGTTACCACCTAATTATGTATACAGGCATGCTACCCTTAAGGCGTCTTGATACCGTGGAGATTCCAGCATGAAGTATGCAGAATCAACCCAGTGATAGACCCCAATTAAATAGCAATAGGAAGAGCCCTTACTCTGTGCCTCGAAATTCCGCAACTCTCGAAATAAATATTGCACACTGGCTGGAGAGAGGATCCAGCAAAGGGATAAAACCTGGCAGGAGGCGGCAAGTCCGAATTTGGGTCGTTGTGTCGCAATGGTAGGAGGAACCATGGCAAACCCGCACTGGGGTTCCTAACTGAAAATATTGTTTGTACATTGCCGTCATGGGGCCGCTGAATGGATGTAGAAAGCATGACCCTGTTGGTTCTCAACGGCGCCGATTCGCCGCTAGTCTTTTGCGCTGGGTCCCCTGTAGCTCCGAATCAGTTCTAGGAAAAGTAATGCTGTTGACCCCATATTAATCAACCCCAGTATAATAATAGGGGGTGGGGGCCCAGGGTTGATTGACGTGGGGTCGACACTAGCGGCATCAACTGCCATCTGGGCGCCCCGGCACTTGAGTCAGCCGTGCTCACTGAGGATATGGTTGGCAGGCGCCTCAGACATCCGGAGCGAGCGGCTAAGGTTCTACTCGAAACTGCCGCGCCCTCGGTGTACGCCCCGAATACATGGAAGCATGCGCACCCTATTCTTTGATTTCCCACCACCGCCCAAAAGGATAGTATTCTCTAAGCGTTGGGCACTTGCAGCGAAAGCAACTCATACTACACTGCGAATCTTTGCGTAGGTTGGTGAGCCTAGTAGAAAACAAGATATGGCTTGGTGAAAAAGATTTGGAAACCCCCAAACCAGGTGGTTTCCCATTGGTTTCCCTGTAACAACAATCTCTCATTAAAAGACACACCCATATATGTCCGAGGCCACACATCATTCACCCGGAGCACCTAAGAATTGATGGGCGTTCCTGAAACGGGAACAATACAGGGAGCCCCCTTTTTGTTCAAGACACTTGCTACAGGAAATTTGACTGGAACGTTTCTCTTTACTTAAATTTCCTGTCAAAGAAGAAGGCCCCGAAAAAGGCTGAATTTTCCAGAATCCCCAGAAAAGGTCGTTTCAGCGTCATGGATCGTTTCAGCCCCAGGTGAAACAGGAAACAGCAGCACCCCGGTTCGACATAGGTGAGGCCCGCGCTTCAGGTGGCGCTGTGCCATCAGTAGAGCCTCGCAAGGCTCACACTTTGGCGCCTTTCAGGTTTCCTTTGTACGAATCCTAAAAGGGGCATACCCCAGGGACAAAAGGGTGGGACCTAGGTACACACCCCGTGACTCCAATGTGGGCCTAGGTGTCCTTTGCTCGAAACAGTACTGGAATCCATCGACGTTTCACCAAACTGACGCAAGACATGACACCTTTGGATGCCCCAAAAGCCGCGGACACTAAAAGTTCATCCACACTTTGCCCCTTGCCCCTTGGCGCTTCTAAAGGCCGGAAAATAACCAAAAACAAACATAAACATATACGCAAAAACTGAGACGGCGACGCCGAGGACGACGACGACAACAGCAACAGCAACAGCGGCAGCAACAGCAACAGCAACAGCAACAGCGCCAGGAACAAAAACAGCAACAGCAACAACAACAACAACAAAAACAGCAACAGCAACAGCAACAGCAACAGCAACAGCAACAGCAACAGCAACAACAACAACAACAACAACAACAACAACAACAACAACAAGAACAAACAAGAACAAACAAGAACAAACAAGAACAAACAAGAACAAACAACAACAAACAACAACAAACAACAACAAACAACAACAAACAACAACAACCAACAACAACAACAACAACAACAACAACAACAACAACAACAACAACAACAACAACAACAACGACAACAGCAACAACAAAAACAAAAACAACAACAACAACCACAACCACAACCACAACCCCAACCACAACCCCAACCACAACCAACAACCAACAACCAACAACGGCAACAACAACAACCACAACAACCACAACCACAACAACAAACAACAACAACCAACAACCAACAACACACAACCAACACCCAACAACCAACAACCAACAAACAACAACCAACAACCAACAACCAACAACCAACAACCAACAAACAACAAACACCAAACAACAAAAACAAACACCAAACAACAAAAAACAACAACAAACAACAACAAACAACAACAATCAACAACAAGCAACAACAACCAACAACAACCAACAACAACAACAACAACAACAACAACACCAACACCAACAACAACAACAACAACAACAGCAGCAGCAGCAGCAACAGCAACAGCAACAGCAACAGCAACAGCAACAGCAACAGCAACAGCAACAACAACAACAACAACAAAAACAACAACAACAACAACAACAACAACAACAACAACAACAACAACAACAACAACAACAACAAAAACAACAACATCAACAACAACAACAACAACAACAACAACAACAACAACAACAACAACAACAACAACAACAACAACAACAACAACAACAACAACAACAACACCGACAACCCACAACCAACAACCAACAACCAAC